TCCTGGTATAGTCCTGGTATAGTCCTAGTATAGTCTTGGTATAGTCCTGGTATGTCCTGTATAGTCCTAGTATAGTCTTGTATAGTCTGGTATGGTCTTGGTATGGTCTGGTATAGTCCTGGTATAGTCCTAGTATAGTCTTGGTATGGTCCTGGTATGTCCTGGTATAGTCCTGGTATAGTCCTGGTATAGTCTGGTATAGTCCTGGTATAGTCCTGGTATAGTCCTGGTATAGTCCTGGTATAGTCCTGGTATAGTCTTGTATAGTCCTGGTATAGTCCTGGTATAGTCTTGGTATAGTCCTGGTATAGTCCTGGTATAGTCTTGGTATGTCTGGTATAGTCCTGGTATAGTCCTGGTATAGTCCTGGTATAGTCTTGGTATAGTCTTGGTATGGTCCTGGTATAGTCCTGGTATAGTCCTAGAATAGTCTTGGTATAGTCCTGGCATAGTCCTGGTATAGTCCAAGTACAGTCTTAGTGTAGTCCTGGTATAGTCCTGGTTTAGTTCTTGCTCAGTTGAGTCCTGGTATAGTCCTGGTATATAGTCCTGGTTTAGTCCTGTTATAATCCTGGTTTAGTTCTCGCGGAGTGCCCGGGAGAGGAGTGAATGGAACAAAAGCAGCTGCATCAGACTAGATTTCGATTTCAGACTTTTGAAGAAATGGGGCACTTTACTGTAAAACGTGGTGTAATTCTGCGGTGAAGTGGCACCGAGCAGAGACGGCAGCACGAACAAGTGTCAAAGAAAATGAATGATCAGCCACGGAATAACAGCAGAAGACGGAGAGAGAGACAGAGAACGACAGGGAAGAAAGAGAGAGAAAAAAAAACACAGAAGAAGGAGACAGAGAGATAAGAGGGTTTCAGGAACGAATGGCATTTCTGTATGACGTCTATACATTTTAAAGCTCTAGTACCTAACTTTTTAGCCACAAATATAAAATTAAAACATTTTTTATTTTGGTTGCACTGATAATCTCCATAAACCCGACTCTTATTTAACCTGGAGAATGTTCCGAAGTTTTGGTTTTAACTTTCTGTTTCCGTGGAATCGTGCAGGTGATGAGCCACATCCTGAAAGTTACACACTGTACCTTTAAATGACCTTTGAGCTTTTAACTGTCCCATAATATTTTGTCCTCATCAAAAACATGCACAGAGTTGTAAACCTGTTGCTGTGGTATAAATAAAAATTCAACTCAATTCAATTCAGTTAACAGTAGAAAAAATGATATTGGTAGCATTATTCGTTGTATTAACATTACTATAAGTATTTGTAATAGTGACAGTAATATTGTAGTACTAGGAGTAGCAGCAGTTGTTACCTGGCTGCACTTGTAGTAGCTGCATTACAAAAGTGTAAAAGAATTAAAAGTGTTAGCAAAAATGTGAATACTTTGTTGAAAAAAAATGTAATGTTTAAAAAACGTGACGTATCTTAAAAAAAACAAAAACAAGACTCTATATATTGTGTCTTTAGTAAAATAGTCCTGTTCAGCCTTGGTTTAGTCCTGGTTTAGTCCTGGTTTAGTACTTGTTTAGTCCTGGTTTAGTTCTGGTTTAGTCCTGGTTTAGTCCTTGTTTAGTCCTGGTTTAGTTCTGGTTTAGTCCTGGTTTAGTCCTGGAATAATCCAGGTATAGTCTTGGTATAGTTCTGGTATATTCCTGGTTTAGTCCTTGTTTTCCTGGTTTAGTCTTGGTATAGTTCTGGTTTAGTTCTGTTATAGTCTTGGTTTAGTCCTGGTTTAGTCCTGGTTTAGTTCTGGTTTAGTCCTGGTTTAGTTCTGGTATAGTTCTGGTTTAGTTCTGATTTAGCCTTGGTGTAATTCTGGTTTAGTCCTGGTATAGTCCTGGTTTAGTTCTTGTATATATGTCCTGGTTTAGTCCTGGTATAGTCTGGTATAGTCTGTATAGTCCTGGTATAGTTCTTGTATAGTCCTGGTATAGTCTTGATAGTCCTGCTTATAGTCCTGGTATAGTCGTGGTATAGTTCTGGTATAGTCCTGATATAGTCTTCCTGGTATAGTCTTGTATAGTCCTGATATAGTCTTGTATAGTCCTGGTATAGTCCTCTTGTATAGTCCTGGTATAGTCCTGGTAGTCCTGGTATAGTTTTGTATAGTCCTGGTAGTAAGTCCTGGTATAGTTCTTGTATAGTCTTGTATAGTAGTCTGTTCCTGTTATAGTTTGTATAGTCTGGTATAGTCTTGTATAGTATAGTCCTGGTATAGTTCTTGTATAGTCCTGGTATAGTTTCTTGTATAGTCCTGGTATAGTCTGTATAGTCCTGGTAGTCCTGGTATAGTTCTTGTATAGTCCTGGTATAGTTCTTGTATAGTCCTGGTATAGTTCTTGTATAGTCCTGGTATAGTCCTGGTATAGTCCTGGTATAGTTCTTGTATAGTCCTGGTATAGTTCTTGTATAGTCCTGGTATAGTTCTTGTATAGTCCTGGTATAGTCCTGGTATAGTTCTTGTATAGTCCTGGTATAGTTCTTGTATAGTCCTGGTATAGTTCTTGTATAGTCCTGGTATAGTCCTGGTATAGTTCTTGTATAGTTCTTGTATAGTCCTGGTATAGTCCTGGTATAGTTCTTGTATAGTCCTGGTATAGTCCTGGTTTATAGTCCTGGTAGTAGTTTACTGTATAGTCCTGGTATATAGTCCTCTTGTAGTCCTGGTATAGTTCTTGTATAGTCCTGGTATAGTCCTGGTATAGTTCTTGTATAGTCCTGGTATAGTTCTTGTATAGTCCCTGGTATAGTCCTGGTATAGTCTGTATAGTTTTGTATAGTCCTGGTATAGTCCTGGTTTAGTCCTGGTATCCTGGTAGTCCTGGTTTAGTCCTGGTTAGTCTGATATAGTTCTTGTATAGTATAGTCCTGGTATAGTTGATAGTCTTGTATAGTCTGATATAGTTAGTTCTTGTATAGTCCTGTAGTCCTGGTATAGTCCTGGTATAGTTCTGTCTTATAGTCCTGTAGTTCCCTGATATAGTTCTTGTATAGTCCTGGTTTCTTGTATAGTCCTGGTATAGTTCTTGTATAGTCCTGGTTTTGTATAGTCTTATAGTATAGTCCTGGTATATAGTTCTTGTATAGTCCTGGTATATAGTTCTTGATAGTCTGGTATAGTTCTTGTATAGTTCTGTAGTCTGGTATAGTATAGTTCTTGTATAGTCCTGGTATAGTCCTGTATAGTATCTGGCTTGTATAGTCTAGTCCTGGTATAGTTCTTGTATAGTCCGTTTAGTCTGATAGTGTATAGTCCTGATTATAGTTCTTGTATAGTCCTGGTTTAGTATGGTCCTATAGTCTGTATAGTTCTTGTATAGTCCTGGTATAGTCTTGTATAGTCCTGGTTTAGTCCTGTATAGTTCTTGTATAGTTCTGATATAGTTCTTGTATAGTCCTGATAATATAGTTCCTGATAGTCCTGATAGTTCCTTGTATAGTCCTGGTTAGTCTGGTAGTCCTGGTATAGTTCTGTATAGTTCTGTATAGTCCTGGTTAGTCCTGTATAGTCCTGATATAGTTCTTGTATAGTCTGGTTGTTAGTCTGTATAGTCCTGTATAGTCCTTGTATAGTTTCTTGTATAGTCCTGGTTTAGTCTGGTATAGTTTGTATAGTTCTCTGGTATAGTTCTTGTATAGTCCTGGTTAGTCCTTGTATAGTCCTGGTTTAGTCCCTGGTATATAGTCTTGTATAGTCCTGGTATAGTTCTGGTATAGTCCTGTATAGTTCTTGTATAGTCCTGGTATAGTCGTATAGCTTATAGTCCTGTATAGTCCTGGTATAGTTCTTGTATAGTCCTGGTATAGTAGTCTTGTATAGTCCTGGTATAGTCTTGTATAGTCCTGATATAGTTCTGTATAGTCTGTATATAGTCCTGTATAGTTCCTGTATAGTCTGGTATAGTCCTGGTATAGTTCTTGTGTATAGTCCTGGTTATAGTCCTGGTATAGTTTAGTTCTTGTATAGTCCTGGTTTAGTTCCTGGTATAGTCCTGGTATAGTTCCTTGTATAGTCCTGTAGTAGTCTGATAGTCTTATATAGTCCTGTATAGTTCTTTATATCCTGGTTTAGTCCTGGTATAGTTCCTGTATAGTTTTTGGTATAGTCCTGGTATAGTCCTGGTATAGTCTTATAGTATAGTCTTGTATAGTCCTGGTTTAGTCCTGGTAGTTCTTAGTATAGTCCTGGTAGTAGTTCTTGTATAGTCCTGGTCCTGGTATAGTCCTGGTATCCTTGTATAGTTTGTATAGTCCTGATATAGTCCTGGTATAGTTCTTGTATAGTCCTGGTTAGTCCTGGTATAGTCCTGATATAGTTTTGTATAGTCCTGGTATAGTCCTGTATAGTCTTGTATAGTCCTGTATAGTTCTATAGTCCTTGTTAGTCCTGGTATAGTCCTGGTATAGTCTTGTATAGTCCTGGTTAGTCCTGGTATAGTTCTTGTATAGTCCTGATATAGTTCTTGTATAGTCCTGGTATAGTTCTTGTATAGTCCTGGTATAGTCCTGATATCCTGGTATAGTCCTGGTATAGTCCTGGTATAGTTCTTGTATAGTCCTGGTTTAGTCCTGGTATAGTCCTGGTATAGTTCTTGTATAGTCCTGGTATAGTTCTTGTATAGTCCTGGTTTAGTCCTGGTATAGTCCTGGTATAGTTCTTGTATAGTCCTGGTATAGTTCTGGTATAGTCCTGGTATAGTTCTTGTATAGTTCTTGTATAGTCTGGTATAGTTCTTGTATAGTCCTGGTATAGTTCTTGTATAGTCCTGGTTTAGTCCTGGTATAGTTCTTGTATAGTCCTGGTATAGTCCTGGTTTAGTCCTGGTATAGTCGTGGTTTAGTAAAAGTTCTTTACCCGACTCTGGTTCGATTCAGTTCCCGTGTTCCTCCTTTGTCTCACTGCGTTTGCTCAGTTCCTGTTCGTCGTGCGTTCTTTCTCAGATATAAATGTGTGTGTGTTTGTGTTTGTGTGTGTGTGTTTGTAGTTGTGTACCGTGTTGAGCCCCACCACCATGCTGTGCCAGGCCCCGGAGCTCGCCATCAGCCTGTCCCGGCAGCTGGAGGTCCCCGAGCGCCCGGACGAGTTTGGGTTCAAGCTGGACGACGTGCAGGCGCTGATGGCTCTCAACAACACCAACTTCATCTACTACCCCAACCCCGAGTTCGAGCCTCTGAGCGTGTCCGGGGTCCTGGAGCTCAAACCGGGATCTCCAATCATACTCAAGGTACGGGACACGGAAATATACTCGAGAACGTCACTTTTTTGTTTCAGTCTTTAAATTTATCTGGACCCAAATCTGCGCAAGTGTAGCAAATAAATCCAGGAGCCAGACCCTCTACAACGATTATTTTGCTGCCTTTTTCCTCACTATGATTTTGACTTTACAAGTTCATCGTCTTTTGTTTCAACTCAGCCCCGTTCGACCTAAAACTCCTTTTGTGGGACCCACCTTGTGCAACATCATCTGAGTCTGTTAAAAGTGCTGCTATGGGCACATACACTATCACCAGTGTTGGGAAGGTGACTTTTAAAATGTATTCCCCTGCAGATTACAGATTACATACACCAAAATGTAGTTTGTAACGTAATTCATTAAATTACTTAAAGTGAGTAATGTAATCTGAATACTTTGGATTACTTGATTTGCTGTAGAGAAGCAAAGACTAAGATATCGCAACATAAGAAGTTTTGTTTGCTAAAAGAAAATAAAAAACCCAGACTTTGCTTAACCAAATTAAAAATATTATTGATAGAAGACGAGGAGACACGGTCCACACAGCAGGATTTAGTCCTGTGAACTCCTGTTTTAGTCTTGCTTTAGTCCTGATTTTGTTCTGTTTTAGACCTGGTTTAGCCCTGGTTTAGATCTAGTTTAGTATAGACCTGGTTTTAGTCCTGGTTTAGTCCTGGTTTAGATCTAGTTTAGATCTAGTATAGACCTGGTTTTAGTCCTGGTTTAGTCCTGGTTTAGACCTGGTTTAGATCTAGTTTAGATCTAGTTTAGATCTAGTTTAGATCTAGTTTAGACCTGGTTTAGACCTGGTTTAGACCTGGTTTAGATCTAGTTTAGATCTAGTTTAGACCTGGTTTTAGTCCTGGTTTTAGTCCTGGTTTAGTCCTGGTTTTAGTCCTGGTTTATTCCTGGTTTAGACCTGGTTTAGACCTGGTTTAGATCTAGTTTAGATCTAGTTTAGATCTAGTTTAGACCTGGTTTAGACCTGGTTTAGAAATGGTTTAGATCTAGTTTAGATCTAGTTTAGACCTGATTTTAGTCCTGGTTTTAGTCCTGGTTTAGTCCTGGTTTTAGTCCTGGTTTATTCCTGGTTTATTCCTGGTTTAGACCTGGTTTAGACCTGATTTAGACCTGGTTTAGACCTGGTTTAGATAGTTTAGATCTAGTTTAGTCTAGTCCTGGTTTAGTCTGGTTTAGACCTGGTTTAGATCTAGTTTAGTCCTGGTTTTAGTCCTGGTTTAGTCCTGGTTTAGTCCTGGTTTAGATCTGGTTTAGACCTGGTTTAGTTTCCAACAATGAGTGGAATTACCAAAAAAAAAACAAAAAAAAGGGAGGAGGATATAGCCCAAAATGTGAAAACAGGAAAACACCTCAATGTAATCGATTAATTTCAACAAAGTAACTGTAATCCAATTACCACTCACTGAAACAGTAACTGTAACTGAATACAGTTAATATCAGTCATAATTTGTACTCTGATTACGTAACTCCGGTACATGTAATCTGTTACTCCCCAACACTGACTGTCACATAGTTGTAAAATTTGGAACAAAGAATCCTGACATGATTAAGACAATATAACCTTACAGGGATTTATGCATTTCTGTTTACAGTTATTAGACCATTTATAGAAATAAAAAACAAAAAATACATTCTCAAGGACAAATCCTCTCCACAATGTTTTATATTTATTTTTATAAATGGTCTAATGTGAACAGAAATGCATAAAAAAAATCATAGTAAGAAAACGGTAGTAAAATAATCACGGTGGAGGGGTCTCGCTCCCAGACTAAAACTTCTGTACCATCACCATCATTGTAATAAACAACATTAAACAAGCATTTTTTTATACATATTTTTTTCCATTTTAGTGCTCTGGATAGACACCACTCACATTATTAGCAATATCTACCCCAGTAAACATTCAAACATCTCTGATCATTTCGTAAAACTCTTACTTTTTGAGTTTACGATTTTCACTTCACACTGGAACATTCCTAATTAGCAGTGTCTTGCTCAAGGACACAACAACAGGCCATCAATCTTCCTGTTACTGTTACTACAGAAAACATATTTAGTATTAGTGATGTAACAATAACCGAAATATTTAGATTTTGTATCATCGAAAGTAGGGATGGGCATGATTAATCGATTAATCGATAATTGATCATTAAGAATTTCATCGATTACGTTAATTTTAATCGACAAACCGAATGTAGGTTGCTGTGTGTAGTGTGACCAAACAGGGTCCGTACATGTGTCTCTCTGCACTCAGAAGGAGCGAGACACAAACAGTCGGTCAGTCTGCAACGTACCGAAGCACAAATGTGTATTTAACGATGATTTGTACAAGAAATTCCACACTTTCCGTTGTGTTCGGGACAAGTGTGAGTCCATGTGCACAGTGAACAAAGCAGCACATATGTTTCGGTGTCCAGTGGGAAAAAGCTTTGACCAGGTGAGAGTCGCACAATCACCCCCCGTACGGTGTCCTGGTTTTGACAAACACAAATATGGTCACACTAACCTGTATTCACCTGAGTCATGTCTTTTAATCCAACAGAAGTTGAACCACATCAGCGACACAAGAGCTGTAGTTTTATCTTCGCTTAGTTTATGCAAATTAACGATGCGGTTTTAAGTTTCGTTTCTGTGAGAGTTGAACAAAACTGAATTAAACACATTATAATGTCAAACGGGCTGATGTGGCTCTAGAGTCGTTACGGTTTATATGTCGTAAAGTTGAATTTATTTATGCAGATTAGTAGTGCAGATAGTAATAATAATGATGATCATTTTAATATAAAAACGTTAATGATTAATCGATAATCGATCGATAATTCTTCCGACGATCGATTAAGAAAATTTCATCGAATGCCCATCCCTCACAATAATATCGTGGGCCAGAACAATATATCAAACTAAAAGTCTCTTTGCTTAAATTAATAGTTATGGTTCAGTAAAAACAGAGGGAACTACATAGACCATGATCCTTTTAGTGCAGATTACATGAAGAAATAAATGTTCAGTTTTAAATGGGTTAAGTCTTGTCAAGGGATTTTAAGAGGAAATCGTTGCATATTCAGAATGAAATATTGTGCATATCGTGAAAATATTGTACAGAGATTTTTGGATATTGTCACATTCCTATTTAGTATTACCTTAAACCCACTCTAGAGTCATGTTTATCTATTAACAACAGTATGTTTTTTTTCTTTCAGGGACGTAACTTTCTCCCACCGACAAACAGTGGAAACGGGAAGTTGAACTACACTGTGTTCATCGGGGACAAGCCGTGTATGCTGACGGTGTCTGAAACCCAACTCCTCTGTGAGTCTCCCAACCTCACAGGACGACACAAAGTACTGGTAAGAGTTTCAATACTTTTACACAGTGGAACTATTGGTTAAATAAGACAGTGGGATGTGCTCTCTCAGTGGGTAATATCCCTTTGGGTTCTTTTTATAGAGTCTCAGGGAAGCAGGCGCCAGTGTAGAAAGAAATAAAGAATGATAAAAACTGAAAATTCACATACTATGAACTTGATTGTTTTTCTTTTTTTTTTTTTTAGGCCCAAAGTGCTATTTTTAATTTGTGGCACATGATATTCTGTAATACCGTATTTTTTTAACTACAAGTCCCACTTTTTTTCATGGTTTGTGTGTTTCCTGTTGACTTATACTTCAGTGCGACTTATATGTACAAACACTGTCAGCCGCGAGAGGCTCTAGGTTTGTGTGCTCCTGTACCACTGTCACTTCGTTCTACTGCGCATATTGGCTGCAGAAGAAAGAGAAAGAGCCACTGTCCTGTCTGGAATCATGTCAGTCTATTGCACCATTACTTCTGTATCACTGACAATTTAAAATAAAATGAAAAAACAGAAAGGCCGGAATAATTCTAACTGGAACTGGTGCTGAGTCTGACGACAGCGACACAGAAGAGGAAGCGGCGCTCTGTTTACCTCCAAAGGTCGCGGAGTTGCTCAGAAGTGACACCGAGGATGAAGAACTGAATGGATTTAGTGATTTGGAGTGAGATGGAGAGTTTGTTAAACTTGTTCTGTTCTGTTGTGTATGTTATATTTATCTGAAGAACTGTTCATATGTGACGTTAACAGTCTGTTGTTTTTACTAGAACTTGCCTTTCAACAAGAAATGTCGGTTCCTGGTCACTGATTTTTTAAAATAAATTTCCCCCAAAAAGTGCGACTTATAGTCCAATGTGACTTCACTCTTCATTATGCGTTTTTTGTCTGGTGCGACATACTCCAGAGTGATTTATAGTCCAAAAAATACAGTAACTATAACCACTCCCTGACTGAATACAAAAACAGACAAAAACAGACAAAGACACTGTACAAGACAAGTTAAAAACATGAAATGAGAGAATAAAAACAGAATACAATACAAACTGGATGATGGTGTGAGCGTTTATATCGGGTAGGACTGTCTGAACAGGTACGTTTTGAGAATTTGTAAAAGTTATCTTTGGAAGATTGAGTCTAGCCTCGCTCTGAACCCTGCACGTGTCTGATGTCACACAGTAGGCGGCGCTAGACCAGAATTCAGGAAGTAATGTGAGAAAAAAAAAAAGGCGGCAATGAGCTCAGGCCACTGAAAACAACACACAAAACACAGCACCGTCTTCCAGATCGTATCATACTTCATTGGGAATATTTTAACAAAATCCCAGCAAGAAAACTCAAATTGTCACACTTTTACTTTTCAGTTTCTTTCTTTCCTTTTTTTGTTTGTTTTTGTATTGTTATGCCAGACTGAGTTGCACAACAGTATAAATAATTTGCGCACGTCTGCCCAGTCCTTAGTCCTTACTTCCCATTAAATTGAAATTCAGTTATCGTTGTTTGAAAAGACCACACAGCCAAACCTGAGTCAGACCATCAGCAAAACCAATGATACACAGTAGATGTAGTGAGAATATTATTATAAGTCCACACATGAGCAGTGTTGGGAAGGTGACTTTTAAAATGTATTCCCCTACAGATTACAGATTACATACTCCAAAATGTAGTTTGTAACGTAATCCATTAAATTACTTAAAGTGAGTAATGTAATCTGAATACTTTGGATTACTTGATTTGCTGTAGAGAAGAAAAGACGAGGAAATCTTCACGTGAGATGTTTTGTTTGCTAAAAAAAAGACTTTACTTCAGCGTATTAAAAATATTATTGATAGAAGAGGAGGAGACACGTCCACGCAGCTTTAGTCCTGTTAAATCCTGTTTTAGTCCTGGTTTTAGGCCTGTTTTAGACCTGGTTTAGATTTAGTTTAGATCTAGTTTAGACCTGGTTTTAGTCCTGCTTTAGACCTGGTTTAGACCTGGTTTAGGTCAAGTTTAGATCGAGTTTAGATCGAGTTTAGACCTGGTTTAGATCTGTTTAGACCTGGTTTAGACCTGGTTTAGATCTAGATTAGACCTGGTTTAGACCTGGTTTAGACCTGGTTTAGACCTGGTTTAGATCGAGTAGATTAGAGACCTGGTTTAACCTGGTTTAGACCTGGTTTAGACCTGGTTTAGGTTTTTAGATCGAGTTTAGACCTAGTTTAGACCTGGTTTAGACCTGGTTTAGACCTGGTTTAGATCTAGATTAGACCTGGTTTAGACCTGGTTTAGACCTGGTTTAGACCTGGTTTAGACCTGGTTTAGATCGAGTTTAGATCGAGTTTAGTTTTATCCTGGTTTAGACCTGGTTTAGACCTGGTTTAGACCTGGTTTAGATCGAGTTTAGATCGAGTTTAGACCTGGTTTAATCCTGGTTTAGACCTGGTTTAGACCTGGTTTAGGTCAAGTTTAGATCGAGTTTAGATCGAGTTTAGACCTGGTTTAGACCTGGTTTAGACCTGGTTTAGACCTGGTTTAGATCTAGATTAGACCTGGTTTAGTTTCCGGCAATGAGTGGAATTACGGAGGGAAAAAAAAAAAAAAAAAAAGGGATATAGCCCAAAATGTGAAAACAAGAAAACAGGAAAAATACCACCGTGTAATCCATTTATTTCAACAAAGTAACTGTAATCCAATTACCTCTCTCTGAAACAGTAACTGTAACTGAATACAGTTACTCATAATTTGTACTCTGATTACTCTGGTACATATAATCCAACACTGCACATGAGTATTTTTTCTACAGTAAGATACGAAAAAACTGTTGAAGTTAAAGAAAAGACGACTATATTAACAAAAAAATACACGCCTAAGTACATTTATAAATAAGTTAACCTCGTCCTACTACTTCTCATTAGACTGAAATGCATTTATCCTCGTTTGAAAAGACCACACAGCAGCAACAACCCCGACAAAACTGAGTCAGAGACAGTCTGTGGTCACGCAGACAGCCAGCAGAGCCAGTGATACACAATAGATGTAGTGAGAGTGGCTTTGTTTCCGTCCAGTGTCCACTTCCAGACAGAATATCCCTAATCACATCAGCACTCTGGCCCTGTTATAGCCACAGCGCAGACAACAGACAAACAAATGAGCCGTCTCTGAACAGTAAGCTTCTGCAAACTCAATAAAGACCCCATTTGTGGCTCTTTCTGGGGCCATTTTAGACCGTTCGCTTCCTGATTTTACCATAGGACCGAAGGGAGGTGGTGAGAGCCCGACCAGAGGCGCAGGCACTTTACTGTACTCAATTAGTGATAGGTGAGCCACAGCTAAAATGCAAGTGTGTTATGGTTTAGGGGGTTTGGTTTGGGTTTTGCTACAGAGTAATTTAGGTCTGCAAGAGTGGATCGAACTTATTTAGATGAGCTACAATTTTTGACTTCACGGTGTGTTATTATTATTAAACATTTATTGTCAATTAAGCAAAAGATGTTCATTTTGTCTTCTTATATACTTTAACTTCTTGGGTTCTTTTTAAAGACAATGCAGTAAAGTGTGTTTACCTTCACGAATTTGCGTGTCATTCTTGCGCAGGTAATTCGTGAAGCGTTCCTCATTTTTAACAAGGTAAACACACTTTACTGCATTGTCTTTAAAAAGAACCCAAGAAGTTAATTTATTGTCAATTCTTAAGATACCTACTGTATTTTTTGGACTATAAATTGCTCTGGAGTGTAAGTCGCACCAGCCAAAAAGTGCGTAATGAAGAAGAAAAAAACATGTATAAGTCACACTTTGTGGGGGAAATTTACTTTATAAAATCAGACCAGGATCTGACATTTAATCTTGAAAGGCAAGTTATAGTAAAAACAATAGAACAGAGAACAACAGACTGTTAACGTCACATATGAACAGTTCTTCAGATAAATATAACATCTCCATCTCACTCCAAATCACTAAATTCACTTAATTCTTCATCCTCGGTGTCACTTCTGAGCAACTCCACGACCTCCAGAAATAAACAGAGCGCCACTTCCTCTTCTGCGTAGCTGTTGTCAGACTCAGCATCAGTTCCAGTTAGAATTATTCCAGCCTTTCTGAATCCCGACAGGATGTTGTGTTTAAGTTTTGTTTTTTGTTTTTTTTTTATTGTCAGTGATGCAGAAGTAATGGTGCGATCGACTGACATGATTCCAGACAGAACAGTGGCTCTTTCTCTTTCTTCTGCAGCCAATATGCACAGTAGAGTACGAAGTGACAGTGGTACAGGAGCACACAAGCCTAGAGCCTTTCTGAATCCCGACAGGATGGTTTCGGTGTCACTGAAGTCCAGGCTTTGTCCATCCATCCAGTGACTTCCAGGAAAGTTGCATGGTGCACCCTCCCGTTTGTCACAAGTTTCTCGCTCACTCCAAGCTTTCTTTCAGCTGCTCGATTACCGTTTTCGGCTGCAAATTTCGCTACTTACAGCAGGACAGAGGCTCTTTCTGCAGGAGACATGCGCAGCAGAGTGAAGTGACAGTGGTGCAGGAGTAACAGGAGCAGCAGATACTGACACACAAGACTAGAGCCTCTCGCAGCTGTCAGTGTGAAAATGTTTTAAGTCGCAGGAAACACCCAAACCATGAAAAAAAGTGCAACGAAAAATACCATAATCTAAAGTTGTGTATCTTTTCTGGTAGAGGGTCCGTCAAATGCTTTCTCCATGGAGATGTTGTTGTTTTGTCTGGAATCTTTCACACTATGGCATTAAACCTTTCTATCTTCATGGAGACTAAACCAGACCAAGTTACAGGTCAGATCTGTGTAGAGGCGACCCCGCTCACAGTCAGAATCCCTGTTTTTCTAGGTATTTTTGAGCTATAAAACCACCTGTAATTTAATAAATGTTAAGTAACGCTGTTTAATATCATACTGTGGAACATTTCAGGCACAGCAACGACATCTCCATAGAAACAAGCAGGTGACGGACCCCCAACCAAAAAGTTACACAGTGCATCTTTAAGATCTACACTGCCAGAAAAGTGTTGGATGAAAAAGTTTGAGTTGTGATTGACTCCCAAATTAAAAATCAATTAAAAAGTCACAATATTTTCCAAAAATGATTGCTGTATTCAGTCGTGTTCCTGCATGTTGCTCAAAATGTAACTCTCAAAATTACTTAAAGGTTGTATGGAGGATTTTTTTTATTTGTTTCAAATTGTCAGTGAAAGTTTAAAATACCATTAGAGCGATGCAGCAGCCTTGTAATTATGATGACCAAAAAAAAAAGAATGAAAATCCATCAACTGTGGACGTGTTGAGGCCAGATAAACATCAGCCACTAGAAAACAAGGCTACCTCATTTTCTATTGGCTGTTAGGTTGTTAATCAAACTCCCTACGTTTCTAGCGTCACTGACTCGCCGGCGCGCTGGGATTAAGAGGTTTACGTTCGCCTCTCACGCACTGATGACATTTACTCGACCAATACAGCGGTTTTTCGAAGTGTAGCTTCCTCTCAGTTTGCACAAAGTTTGTTGTAACGGCGGACAAGAATTCACGACCAGTTCATCGCGAATGAAAGTCCGTTTTTGACGTCGCGGAAACAAGAGGAGAAGGGGAAAAGCAGCAAAGCACAACATTTGAAAAAGGACAAACAGTCGCTGCATTTCTCTTTTCTTGGAAAATCTTCTAGACAACCTTTAAGACAGCTTTTAGCGTACTCCAGAAACTGTCTTTAGAGAACTTTGACAGACTGACATAATAATATTCAAAGAGCTTGGACAATGCATTTACTGTAATTTATGGAAAATTATCTTCAAATAAATTAAATTAATTAAAAATGCACGGAAAAATACTTATCTCTGTCGTGTGTCCAGGCTCGTGTGGGGGGTATAGAGTTCTCCCCCGGTGTGGTCCACATCACCTCGGACAGCCCCCTCAGCAGCACGGCCATCATCGGGATCGCTGCGGCGGGCGCCATGCTGATCCTCGCCATCGTCATGGTGCTGATCGCCTACAAACGCAAGTCCAGAGAGAGCGACCTCACGCTGAAGAGACTGCAGATGCAAATGGACAACCTGGAGTCTCGCGTGGCTCTGGAGTGCAAAGAAGGTGAGGGGAGAGACGGTTACTGTAACACTTGAATGAATAAAGTTTGGAGCTTAAACTCGGGAAGTGACGTCAGTGAAGAAAGAGAGTGATCGAATTATTAAACTAAATATGGCACCCAGACACCTCGACATTGATAAAGTTGATTGAGGTCACAGAGCTAAAACAGCATGATTACAGTTTCGGAGAGAGAGATTATTTATGTGGTAAGGCTGAGGAAAAAGTTGGTTGTGTCTTTTGGATTTAAACCAGTCAAAAATAAATATAGACAGACATTAGGCTTTAGGCATGATGATATGTAAGGTGCTATAAGCATTTAAGACTGGGGTTTTCAAATTAGGTGAATGTCCAAAATCCCGTCCGCCTGCCCTACCCCACACAGACCTTTGGAATAAATGCATCTTGTTGGGAGGCAATGTTTCTGGCAATGATGAGTTTCAATAATAACTGATAATATATATTTTTTATATTGTATTTTCATATTTTCTTTTCTAAAATTGCATTCATAAACGATTTCTGCAACAGCAAATAATTTCCAACTTCATGCAGGCCAAATTGAGGTGACTTTTAACATCACTGAACATCAGTAGGTCACCAGTACTAAACCAGGATTAAACCAGGACTAAACCAGGTCTAAACCAGGACTAAACCAGGACTAAACCAGGATTAAACCAGGACTAAACCAGGACTAAACCAGGACTAAACCAGGATTAAAGGACTAAACCAGGTCTAAACCAGGACTAAACCAGGACTAAACCAGGTCTAAACCAGGATAAACCAGGACTAAACCAGGTCTAAACCAGGCTAAACCAGGTAAAACCAGGATAAACCAGGACTAAACCAGGTCTAAACCAGGACTAAACCAGGACTAAACCAGGACTAAACCAGGTCTAAACCAGGACTAAACTAGCGCCAGGCTGTGCTTAGCCCCGTGGGATACAGAGCTCTGCACCGGTCCTTTTGCCCGTGGTCACCCGACAGTCTACGCTGGTACACCTCCGGGCCCGTCCTGACACTCAGTCCTGGTTCAGTTCTGTTTTAGTCCTAGTTCAGTCCTGGTTTAGTCCTGGGTTTAGTCCTGTTTTAGTCCTAGTTCAGTCCTGGTTTAGTCCTGGTTTAGCCCTGGTTTAGTCCTGGGTTGAGTCCTTGGTTTAGTCCGCATGTGTCGTGCCTCCCCAGTGGCTCTCTGGCGCCCCCCATGGGAGGCGGGCCTCACCTATTGAAACCCTCTGATATAATAATGGTTTGACTCAATCATGGACAGGCTGAAGTTCATTTGGTCTTTTATTTAATTTGTTTACTAGCCCGGTTTGGTCCCCGGTTTCTCCTTTAGTATTAGATCTTGTTTAATCCCAGAATATTGCATTATTTTCTAATAATGAGGCTGGTTTACTGTATAAAATGAATAAAGTCCCAGCTTAGTCCATATACTGGTCTATTCTGCTCAAAATATGTGACTTTTATAAATGAATGTTCTGAAACTTGTCAGAAAATCTCCGGACTAGATTGATTTGTCCCAACTCTTAATACATTTTGTTTTTGTGGTTTAGCGTTTGCAGAGCTGCAGACAGACATCCATGAGCTGACCAGTGACCTGGACGGAGCCGGGATCCCCTTCCTGGATTACAGAACCTACACCATGAGAGTGCTGTTCCCCGGCATCGAAGAACACCCCGTCCTCAAAGACCTGGAGGTACTGTGGAGCTTCATACATACAACATCCCTGTATCATTCATTCATTTGTTTTTCAGTATAAAACCAAAAATAAGAAAACGAAAAAAGAACAGTTTTTTCATTATTTGTCTCCAAAACCAAAATGAAAAAACGGATAACAATTTGTTTCCCCTTTCTGTGACTTAAACTGCCATGTTGGACTAAACCTGGACTAAAACTGGACTAAAACTATCCCAACAGTCCCAGATTCAGTCCTGGTCTCGGTTCCGATCTGGTCTTGGTCTCGGTCCCAGGTCTGGTCCCGTTCTGGGTCATAATCTCAGTCCCGGTCTTGGTCCCGGTCTCAGTTCCAGTTTGGTCCCGGTCTCAGTCCTGACAGTCTACACAGGCACACCTCCCAACACTCCTGGTCCTGGTTCAGTCCTGGTTCAGTCCTGGTTTAGACCTGGTTCAGTCCTGGTTCAGACTTGGTTCAGACCTGGTTCAGTCCTGGTTCAGTCTGGTTCAGTTGGTTCAGACTTGGTTCAGACCTGGTTCAGACTTGGTTCAGACTTGGTTCAGACTTGGTTCAGACCTGGTTCAGTCCTGGTTTAGACCTGGTTCAGTCCTGGTTCAGTCCTGGTTCAGACTGGTTCAGTCCTGGTTCAGACTTGGTTCAGACTTGGTTCAGACCTGGTTCAGTCCTGGTTTAGACCTGGTTCAGTCCTGGTTCAGACTTGGTTCAGACCTGGTTCAGTCCTGGTTCAGTCCTGGTTCAGACCTGGTTCAGACCTGGTTCAGTCCTGGTTCAGTCCTGGTTCAGTCCTGGTTCAGACTTGGTTCAGACCTGGTTCAGTCCTGGTTTAGTCCTTGTTTAGACCTGGTTCAGTCCTGGTTTAGTCCTTGTTTAGACCTGGTTTATCCGTTTTTTTTTCCCATTATTCATTTAAACCCAAAATTGAAAACTAAAAATTTTAATTCTTAAAAAATTCTTACCAGTTTTTAAATTTTGGTTATGGAGACAAATAATGAAGATAATATATATATATATATTTTTAATTTTCATTTTCTTATTTTAGTTTTTATTTTGAAAAACGAATAAACGAATAATACACAGATTGTTAAGAGATAAAATCAGTTTTCGGTGCATTCACACTTTCGCATAATCATGAAAACTGGGACTAAACTTGGACAAAGCCGAGACTAGAACAGAACCAAGTCTACATTAGAACTTAACCAACCTTAAATCAGGACTAACTCAGGTGAAGTATGAACCCAGTCTTTCAGAATATCCTCACGGCGGTACAAGGAATACAACTTCTACATTTATTTTGCGTTTTATTTTCACTATAATGAATTCAGGAGTGTGTTCCCGTTCTTCAGTCCCAATCAAATGGTAATGCAATTAGCCCCATTTGAAAAGACGTGGGCCAATGAACAAAGCGCCGGGTCACAGTAGGTGAAATTGATGCTCAAGTTGTTTGTGTGCTACGTGATATAAACAAAAGCCTTTTGACGACTGACGGCAACAGTCTTTCAACGGCATCATGGCAACCTCCAGACGGAGATCGCACTCATTAATACGTCCGACTGGATTCAACACCGGGGCCGTGTTTTAAACCCGAGCTCCAATTACGCCGGTGAGATTAAAGGGCCGATATTACGCTATTTTCTGATCTGTGTTGTAATGTTTCCCTCGTCACAAACGGACCTGAAGTTGTGTTTTGTCTCATTCAAACCCTGCATATTTAGGCTGAGTTCTTCTCGCAAACAGCAAACACTCTGTTCCACCTTGTGATGTCATGCGGTGGTTTGTGTGTAGTGCTTGGATGGGAGACTGCGAGGAAAATCAGGAGCCAAAGGGGGTTGTTGTTGTTCTTCTTCTTCTTAGTAGTAGTAGTAGTAACAGTAGTAGTAACAGTAGTAGTAGTAGTAGTAACAGTAGTAGTAGTAGTAGTAGTAGTAGTAGTAGTAGTAGTAGCAGTAGTAACAGTAGTAGTAGTAGTAGTAGTAGTAGCAGTAGTAGTAGTAGTAACAGTAGTAGTAGTAGTAGTACAGTAGTAGTAGTAGTAGTCAGTAGTAGTAGTAGTAGTACAGTAGTAGTAGTAGTAGTAGTAGTAGTAGTAGTAGTAGTAACAGTAGTAGTACAGTAGTAGTAGTAGTAACAGTAGTAGTAGTAGTAGTAGTAGTAGTAGTAGTAGTCAGTAGTAGTAGTAGTAGTAGTAGTAGTAGTAACAGTAGTAGTAGTAGTAGTAGTAGTAGTAGTAGTTGTAACAGTAGTAGTAGTAGTAGTAGTAGTAGTCAGTAGTAGTAGTAGTAGTAGTAGTACAGTAGTAGTAGTAGTAGTAGTAGTAGTTGTAACAGTAGTAGTAGTAGTAGTAGTAGTAGTAGTTGTAACAGTAGTAGTAGTAGTAGTAGTAGTAGTAGTAGTTGTAACAGTAGTAGTAGTAGTAGTAGTAGTAGTCAGTAGTAGTAGTAGTAGTAGTAGTACAGTAGTAGTAGTAGTAGTAGTAGTAGTAGTAGTAGTAGTAGTAGTAGTAGTAGTAGTAGTAGTAGTAGTAGCAGCAGTATTTAAACTCCATACACCTCACTAGAATCAGAGGTAAAAAGTAGCTGTTAACTTGAAAACTGCCCCTACATGACATCACAAGGTGAAATGGGGCATTTTGAGCTTTGAAGATATAGACAGACAAATAATCAAGTGTTACTCAAACATGTGTGAATGAAACAAAACACAACTCCAGGTCTGTTTTTAAGGAAGTAACAACATTATAACACGTCTTAAAGCTCTTTTTTGCATCATATAGACCTGGGGTGTCAATCTTATTTTGGTCCGGGGGCTTTATCCAACCTACTTTGATCCAAAAGGGGCCGGATCAGAAAACTCATGTCATATAAACCCCAAAAATAACAACAAGTTCAAATATGTGTGCAGAGAAACGCAAATCTTTCTTTTATAAATTATCATAATATTATGAAAAACTTGAAACTTTAAGAAAAATGCAATTTCAACACAATGTTTTAACATGAACTTGTATGCAAACATTGACACTCGTCTCCACTTTTCTCATGTTGGACATTTTTCTGATGAGGGTGTCTCGGTCAACAGTCAAAACGATCGTCCTTTAAGAGCGTTTGGAAAGAGACAAGTCTTCATTTGTGCTGCTCTGGTGGGAGGGGCCACGTACAGAGACGCTGGAGATAAACATCACAGAAAATTAACAATATTTTAATAGAAAATATAATTAAAGTATTTTAGTAGAAAATATTAAAGTTCTTGGAGGGCCGGATCTGGTCCCCAGGCCGTATGTTTGACACTCCTGATACAGGACCTTGAAATTGAAACTGCAGTTTAAATAGACACAATTAACAAATCGCTAAGGCTGCAGTTTTTGAAGTACCATAGTTTCCTCTACAAACTACATCATTCCCTGCCTTATTTTGCATAAAAAACTGCTAACCCTGTAGTTTACATTTGTATAAACATGTTCTGAAATGTGATTCTTTGTCAGTTCTTTTTGTCAATTCTTCTAGATACCTATAAAGGTCCTATATTACATACATATATATGTTACACTTTAGGCCATGTTAAAATATTGTTACCTCATCAAAAACAAACCTGGAGTTGTGTTTTGTTTTCATTCATGTTTGAGTAATAGTTTATTATTAGTCTGTCTACATCTCCAAAGCTCAAGATTTTTCAAGTTAACAGCTGCATTTTACCTTTTCGTCACTAGAAATTGGCTGAAATTTGCCAAATAATTCTAGTGAAGGTGCATATTTCACATATTTTTGACGAGGAAACAACATTATAATATAAACTGTCAGAAAAAAAATCACAATGAGATATTTTCCTCAAATCCTGCAATCATAGCTCCAAATTAGAAGTCAATCAGGTAGGGAAAAAAAAGCTCAAATTCAATCCACGTATCCCCCATAGTGACAGTGATGGACAGGTATAATTGAGCTGCTCGTCTTTGCCCATTAAAAGAATGATGGAGCCCGTTTTAGTGGCCTTGGGGCTGGCCACTCTGTCCCTGATGAGAAATTCCAAGTAATAAGTGGTATTAATTATGTTTTAATTGGTATAAACGCAGAACTGTAGCAGCAGTATAACGCGTAATGGGGCCCTAATGAAAAAGCAGCAGGCCTGTCTCTGGCTGCTTAATTGTTATTGATGTGTCAGAGAAAGCACAGCACGGTTTGACTCGGATTAAGAGCTACGGCTGAAACGCAACCGAAAAGTCAAAGAAAAGTGTGGATCTATTTGAAAATTTTATGCGTTTTTAGTCTGGAAAAAAGCGACAATAACTGAAATATTGTGACGTCGTATCGTCAAAAGTCTCATAATAATATCGTGGGCTGTCACAAATATATCGAATTACAAGTTTCTTTGCTTAAATGCATCGTTTTATAGTAGCAACAGCTTATAAACATCGGAAACTACATATCCCATGATTCATTTCAGTGCAGACAACATGAAGATATATGTTTTTTACTTGACTTCTTGGGGTTATGACGGAAATAATTCACACCAAAATCGTGTCAAGGTGTTTTAAAAGCAAAAAAAAGTGTCCGATCTACAATTATATCAGCCTCTCTAAAATATCGCAATAAATATCGTACCGTAAGATTTGGATATCGTTACATCCCTACATTTTTATATAATACTTTGACTCGGATTAAAAGATCTAGGGCTGAAACTCACCTGAAACTCAAATAAAAGTGTGGATTTATTAGAAAATTTTACGCATTTTTAGTCTGAAAAACAGCAAATGTGAAGAAATTTCGTTTTTATTTTGAAAAACGGCAATTGAGAAGATATTGCAATTTTTAAATGGTAAATGGTCACATGTTTATATAGTGCTTTTCCACATTCAAGGCACTCACTTTACGTCACCGATTCACACATACAATCATACACCAGTGTACGCAGACACTGAAACTCACCTGAAACTCTAAAGTGTGGATTTATTTAAAAACCTAACACATTTTTAATCTGAAAAACAGCAATTGTAAAGAAATATGTTAAGGTTTTATTATTATTATTTTTTAAATGATCATATTTTTATATAGAGCTTCTCCACCTTCAAGGCACTCAAAGCGTTTTACATCATTATTACTTTATTTACATCACTATTCTGAAAAAAAAAAAAAATAAAAAAAAAAATCTGATTAATTTGAATAGTGGAGTTATTTAAAAAGTAACATATCTTCAGTCTGAAAATATCCATTTCCAACATTCTGTGATTAAGAAAATCTTTTTAAAAAAATACAGTTTTCAGTTATATGTGCCTCATACACTGAAATTATTACTTTTTTAAGCATCCTATAATTTATTTAACACAAATTTACATTTTGCACTCAGATCAGTTTTATTGTTTATTAAGTTAATTGTAAGTCTGCTCTCCTGTCACCAGTCTTGTGCATGAGTGGTGAAGTGTGTTGCCCAAGGACACAATAATGTCACGCTATGAGTCATTTTTGTAAAGATAACTAGTGTCCCTCAGAGTCCTGCACCAGGTCAGGTCTAAACCAGGACTAATCCTGGACTCCTGGTTTAGTCCGTGGCGTGTGCGGCGCAAAAGTCCGGCATCTCGATCAAAGTTTCTTCTGCTCAGTAAATAAGACCTGTGAACTGATGACGTGTTTTTTGACAGAAAAGTCGCGTCTATGAATTTGTATTCGTACTGAAGAAATCGTAACCTTTTCATTTCATTTCGTGATTGTAATTCTTGACGTCATAACTTTTCATTTCGTATTCTGATATATGAATACACGCAGTACATTTTATGCACGACTGGACTCATTCGAGAGTTTTCGAATATTTATTTTATGCTCAACTACAGCACAGATTTCCCAAATATGCACGGATTTCTCTCCTATGCACGCGAATATTTCTGAAAGCTTTCTTACTCTGTACTTTTGCCTATTCAAACCTCATTTAGCGTCATGTTTTCGTTGAGAGGCGCATTGAAAAAATGTAAGTGCTTCAGGTAGAATGCTTTTAAGTTGTGTAATCCGGGCGGGTGCGGGTCTCCAAAAATTGACCCGTGCAGGACTCCGGGCAGTTCTTGCGTGGAGAACTGAACCTGCAACCCTTAGTTCATACTAGGGATGGGCATTCGATGAAGAATTAACGATCGATTATCGATTAATCATTAACGTTTTTATATTAAAATGATCATCATTATTATTACTATCTGCACGACTAATCTGCATAAATAAATTCAACTTTACGACATATAAACTGTAATGACTCTAGAGCCACATCAGCCCGTTTGACATTTTAATGTGTTTAATTCAGTTTTGCGCAACTCTCACAGAAACGAAAACTTAAAACCGTATCGTTAATTTGCATAAACTAAGCGAAGATAAAAACTACAGCTCTTGTGTCGCTGATGCGGTCAGTTTCTGTTGGATTAAAAGACACGACTCAGTGGAATACAGGTTAGTGTGACCAGATTTGCGTTTGTCAAAACCAGGACACCTTACGGGAGGTTGGGGACTCGTCATCGATATTGAGCGACTCTCACCTGGAAAAACTTTTTCCCTCTGGACACCCAAACATATGTGCTGCTTTATACACTGTGCACATGGACTCACACTTGTCCCGAACACAACGGAAAGCCTGGAATTTCTTGTACAAATCATCGTTAAACACGCATTTGTGCTTCGATACGTTGCAGACTGACCGAATGTTTCTGTTTGTGTCTCGCTCCTTCTGATGCAGAGAGACACATGTACGGACCCTGTTTGTTCACGCTACGCACAGCAACCTACATTCAGTTTGTCGATTAAAATTGACGTAATCGATGAAATTCTTAATGATCAATTATCGATGAATCTACTAATCATGCCCATCCCTAGTTCATACACAAACACTTAATCTACTACTACACATTCTCCCCGCAGACACCCGAACAATGTCAAATTGAATAAAGCGATCGTCTGGTGTCCCTGCGTAGCACACGTCTCATCTCCTCATGTTTAGAGCTCGAGCACAAATGCGTAGTGATGGTTTCTGCTCGGGTTGCCGCTTCTCCATCGTGTCTGTTCTTGTAACTATAATGTTAATGCACCGGGAGGCGGATCCTTACAATTCACACTCGCAATTTAACAATAGCTCCTGTCAGATTTACAACGCGCGGAGCTACAAAGACACCAGACGCGCGGTGACAGCTGCATCGGTCCGAAGAGAGCGTATCGCGCGGAGAGCTCTCGACAGATAAAAAAATACACAATCTCCATAGGTAGGCAGACGCTATTTAAAAATGAAAGGGGGAAGCTACTTGTTAAAACGGAGCAAGTTGTTTTCAGATGAGAGGGAGACACACGAATCGCTGAACCGGCTTTTAACTCGGAGCATTGTAAAACACAGCGCCATCAAAGCGGTAAGCAGTCCCCAAAGAGCCGGACCGCTTCATATCTCCAGCTTAACATCAGAGTAAACAACAAACTTTTATCTTCTTAAATCGTGACGCGTTATTTAAAACATCGTCTGCCTCCTATCTCGCTCCAGTACGATTGCCCAGTAGGCTCCGTTCGGCGTTCACAAAAAAAAAAAAAACCCAAGATAATGTCAAAATTTCAAAATGATGAACGAGGAGCTGTTTTTATTTTCTTCTCTGGTTATTAATCTCGCAGTGTAATGCCCTGTTGACTTTCCAAAATCATACCTGTGTAATTGCAAGCTATCGCAAGTTTTCTTACTAAAGTGATTAACACAATTTGTGCGCTGAGAGAATTTTAACGATGTTCCAGGTTTTGTTTTTTCGAGACGACAGACCCGGTAATTGCGAGTCTGGGCGGGTTACCTCCTCGTGCTCTGGTTTCTCAAATCAACCCAATATTTAAAAGGTAAGATTAGATGGTTCTAACCAAGTCGAGCTCCAGACCAAGTAACGAAAATGTCGTTTCCTTATCAAAATCGGCCCCGAAGTTGTGTTTTGTTTCATTCGCACGTTTCAATACAGCCACAGGTCTTCACTTCTCATTTGTCGTTCTTTTGCCGGTTGTCCTGATTCCTGTTGTGGGACCCTGCTCCGTGATTGTTGGGGTTTGTTTACGCCCACTTCCCCCTCTTTAAGGAGAGTCCCAGCACCTGTTCAGGCCCACTTTGCCATTTAGTTGTGTGTCTCTTGTCGTCTGTCACTCTGTGTTTTTGTTTTTGTTCCTGTGACTTTGATATTTTGAGTCACTCATCTCTAGTTTAGTAGATTTAGTAGATTTTGCGCGACTTTGTACGAGACACTCGGCATCGCGCATGACCTTTGTATGTTGGTTCATCTTCTGTTGCAGTCCTTTTGGTTTGTTTCTGTGCAGTTAGTTTGCTTTGCTTTCTGTACACGTTTCAGTCTGTTTTGTTAAGTTTACCTTTTACATTTACTGTTAATTAAACATTACTTAATTTATTCCATTCTCCATCTTGGTTCTTTTTTTTTTTTTTACTTCCCTTGTCCGTAGCAGAGTTGGGTCGTAACACCATCTCCAAAGCTGAAAATGCTGTTCCACCTTGTGATGTCATGAAGCAATAGTTTTTTTTGAACACTGATCTTTTACCTTTAGTTCAGCTGAGATTCTAGAGCTGAAGTTATTGAAATGAAATGATTCTAGTAAGAGATATGGAGTGGAGCACTTCCTGTATTGCCGTATCACATCACATGGTGAAAGAATTGAGCGTAAATATGCAGGATTAGTGTTTTAAACATGTGTGAATGAAAAAAAACACAACCCCAGGTCTGTTTGTGATGAGGAAATAACATCATAACAACACAGACCTTTAAGTAGCTTGAATGTGGAATCTTTTAATGACTATCTACCAGAGGTGGGGACTTGCAGGTCGTGACTTGGACTTGAGTCAGACTCGAGTCACTATTTTCAGGACTTGAGACTTGACTTGATTAAACAGACCAAGACTTGGGACTTGACTTGGACTTGAGCCCTGTGACTTTCTATTCTGACCGTAATGATTCACATTAAGATCTTGACAAGACATTTACAAAGGAAAAAATAGCATTTCTACAACTCTACAATTTCTACAACTTATATAAATACTCATATATAAATATACCAAGACTTTTTTTAATTACAGTTTAATTTAAAATTCTTATAAATTGCAAAAATCTAATCTATGTTTAGTATTTTGGTTTAAAGACTTGAAACGACTTGAAGCTCGAAGCAGACGACTTGGACTTGACTTGGACTTATGGGCCAGTGACTCAAGACTTGACTTGGACTTGCCTGTCTTTGACTTGGGACTTGACTCGGACTTGAGGTCTAAGACTTGAGACTTGCAAAACAACGACTTGGTCCCACCTCTGCTCTACACTAGGGCTGGGGATCGTTAAGAAGTTGCCGATACGATACATACCTCGATACATAGGCCACGATAAGGTACGTTTTTCGATCCTGCGCATTTTCGATTCAGTACGATTCGAAACGATATATTTCAAATCGATTCTATACAGTTGAGTGAAAAACAAAGGCTAGATCATGGCCCATTTTACTCAAAACAGTTAAAATCTCAACACAATTGTCGCTCTTACACAAAACAATGTAGTAAAATATACCTAAAAATACTCTTAGCGATATATCGATACAGCAGCCCATAATATCGATACGGTATCATCAATGTTATTAGGTTATTTTTTCAGACTTATAGTTTTGTTTCATACCTGACTGATCGACTGCTCACTACAAAACTCTAGGTCTGAAAAAAGAACCTAATAACATAAAATATCGGGAGACCAAATGAATCTCATTGGACGGTATCATCAAATTAAACGATACGATATACTGATATTTCAATATTTTTGCACACCCGGACTATCTACCTTCATGCTTTACAATTTGACAACAATTTCTGACTTTGGAATTATTATTGAATTGTGTTTCTGTCATTGCTTTGTTGATTCATTGTTGTTTTAGCTCAGTTCTTCTCTGTGCTTCAGTCAAATGAACTCCTCCTTGGTTTGTTCGACAGGTGCCAGGATACCGACAGGACCAGGTGGAGAAGGGCCTGAAGCTCTTCGGGCAGCTCATAAACAACAAGGTGTATCTGCTGTGCTTCATCCGCACTCTGGAGGCGCAGCGAGGCTTCTCCATGAGGGACAGAGGGAACGTGGCCTCGCTCATCATGACCGTGCTGCAGAGTAAACTGGAATACGCCACAGACGTCCTCAAACACCTGCTGTCCGACCTCATCGACCGCAACCTGGAGAGCAAGAACCACCCCAAGCTTCTCCTGCGCAGGTCAGTCTGAGGCACAACTGTACGAGTACTTTTATAAATCTGCAGGCTCACGTTGACTTACACTGGAATATTGTCGCTCATTTTGGTCTTAAAGTGTTCGTATTAACCCGCTCTACATGATACTTGTGCTTTTAATCCACTATGTTGTTTGTTAAAAAATGCTATTCATAATATTTTAAATTCACCCCTGTATCCATGAGAGTCGCAAACTTCATTTGACTGGAGCTGTGGGTAACGTCACACTCCCTTAGTCCACTTTTTGATACAGTTTATGGATACAACTGTCCACGCACTTCAAATACTGCGCGCGTCAGTCCGAGGAACTGTTTACATGAGAAAAATGACAAAATATTTTATCGGAAGTGCCTTTGGTTTAGACGGTGACGGCGTTTTTGGGGCTTAAAAATGCAAAAATCTGAAACCGCCCTCCAGAGTGGAAAAGTTGAACACGCTCCACCGTAGTGTTTCCGTCTACACTGCCCAAGACGCAAAACTCTGGTCAGATCTGCTCATGTCGTGTACGAGTTTACATACAGACAGTACACAGAAACAAACTTGTCGGATCATTTCCATGCGTCGGACCTTCAAGTTGCTCTTGGCCGCTCTCATAAACTTACAGGAGGCTCCCAACAAATGTACAGAAGCTGCAGAGATACTTTTAGTGAACAGAGAAGGATCTGTGATCACCTCTGTCAAATTCTGGATGCACCAGTTCGTCGCAGGCGAGTCAGACGGATATGGACGAGTATACAGACTGAACCAGAACTGAAACAGGACTAAAGCAGGACTAAACCATTTTCAGTACTGGTCCCGGCCTCAGTCTCGGCCTCAGTCCCGTCTGGTCCCAGCCTCAGCCTCAGTCCCGGCCTCAGTCCCAACCTCAGTCCCGGCCTCAGTCCGGGACTCAGTCCCAACCTCAGTCCCGGTCTCAGTCCTGGCCCTGGTCCCGGTCTAAGTCCTGGTCTCAGTTTCGGTCTGGTTCTGGGCCTGGTTCAGTCCTGATTCAGTAAGCACAAAATCAAAAACTGAAAAAACAAATCTTTATCCGTTTTTTCATTTTAGTTTTAGAGACAAGTAATGATAAAAACAGTTTATTGTTTTCTTATTTTTGGTTTTATTTTGAAAAACAAATGAACGAATGACACACAGATTGCATTTCACTGTAGAGTTTGGTGCTTTCCCAGTGTCTGCAGGGTTTCTTCCTCCTGCCGTAATGTCCATGTCATTAAAGTTACGATTCCAAACATTATTGATCTGAAAGCTACAGCCGCATGCTTTGTTTTTTCTAAATCATCAGTATCTGTTTGTGGATCTGTTAATTACTCAGCGCCGTACATAACGCATTAATGCCTGTAATTTAAAATAACGAGAGTAGAAAGTGAGCCACAATATCCCACTTATAATTAGTTTTTCACTCAAAATGATTTGAAATGTTGAGTTTACTACGCTCTCGTACGCTCTGTGTTTTCCTCGAGCAACAGGAACAGCCCTCGTGACCTTGAATAACTGCCTCACAGAGAGCGTCTCCGCATATCATTAGAAACAATAATTATGAGTAATTAGCACTGCCGCTAATTTTAGATAGCATGGCAGAAACTGGGATAGGAGGATAATACATGAGCGTGAAGAATTCCTCCTCCTCGAAATACTTCACAGTTAAACATTTTAGTTTTAGTTTTCACATCATCGGCTGTGTTTAGTTACAGTCGTTTCAGCCCTGGAATTACCAATTTTTGCAAAACAACAGACAAAAGGCGGCTGTGAAAAGTGCGTTGTGTAACTTTTCCGGTGGAGGGTCCATTTAATGCTTTTCTCCGTGGAGATGTCATTGCCTTGTCTGGAAAGTTTCACAGTATGGCTTTAAACCTTTCTGTCTTCATGGAGACCAAACCAGACCAAGTTACAAGTCAGATCTGTGGAGAGGCGACCTCGCTCACAGTCATGGCCTGTTTACACGAGAACGTTTGCAGGTAAAAACGACAAAATATTTTATCGGAAGTGCCTTTCGTTTAGACGGTGACGGCGTTTTGGGGGCTTAAAAACGCAAAAATCTGAAACCGCCCTCCAGAGTGGAAAAGTTGAACACGCTCCGCCGTAGTGTTTCCGTCTACACCGCCCAAGACGCAAAACTCTGGTCAGATCTGCTCACGTCACGTACATGTTTACGTCACATACATCACCGCCGCCTGGCATGCAAACCCAATCGAATTCCACACACTTTTGCACCACCGTATGCACGCAGATTTCCTCCTGAAAACGCTCGTCTAAACGCGGAATAAAAAGTGAAGACACGACACCACTTTTGCGTCTTCTGTTCAGACGTCATCATATAAACGCAGCCTCAGAATGCCTGTTTTTCTAGGCATTTTTGAGCTATAAAACCACCGGTAAATACACAAATGTTATACTGTGGAACATTCCAGACACTCCATGACATACAGTCCCTGACAAAAGTCTTGTCGCTTATCCATTTTGTAGAAACAAAATCTTATAACCTGACTATGCTCAATATACTAAAATGAGCATAATTTGGGAGGGTTTTAGCTTTCATATGAGACATTTCTAAAACCAATCGATTAATTTAAAGTCAGGTTATAAGCTTCTGTTTCTACAAAATGGATAAGCGACAAGACTTTTGTCAGGGACTGTATGACATGACAACCAAAAAGTGAAATAGTGCACCTTTAAATTAAGAACCTTTGACTTTATTTGAGGAAATTCAGCTTGACAAGTACAATTATCTAACAATGTTTTTTTTTTTTTTTATATATATACTTATTAATTCAGTTTTTTCAAGTTTTGTGTGATAAAGAACAAACAAACAAACCAAAAAATACAACCAATACAAAGCTTGGCCTGCTGTTCCACTGCAATAAGGATGTCGAAGGGTGAATCAAGTCTCTTTTTGTTTACATTTCAACCATTTTGTCCAGAGTTTAATGAAGAAATGTCCTTTGAGTCGCAGAAAAAAACGTTAGCCATTCCATTGAATATATTTCTTCTATAATGTCTAGCTACTGATTCACTGACAGTGGGTCCTTTTTATACCAGCTTCTTGTTATTGCTTTTTTTATGCCAATGTCAGAATCGTTTCTTGTTTTAAGTGCATTTTAAGAGTTATTTTTCTTATCTTCAGTGTAACAAGATCTATTTTCTTATTTTAACTACAAAAATTCTTGTTCCATGGGTGGATCGTTTTACTTGTCAAGTGAAATTTACTCAAATCAAGGTACAACTTTCTTAATTCAAGTAATTTTAACTTGGAATCTACCACTACGTGACATCACAAGGTGGAACCCAGCATTTTGAGCTTTGGAGATGTAAACAGACTAATAAAGATGGATTACTCAAACATGTTTAAGTGAAATAAAACACAACTCCAGGTCTGTTTTTGAAGAGGAAACAACATTATAACACGGAAAACAAGACTCTCCCCTCGTCTATACTGCACATTTAAACACATTCTCTGCTCTGTGATTTTAATTTCGCATCGTCGGCTGCGTTTAGTTACAATATTATGGCATCCACTCGTGTTTTGTGTGTTTTGTGGCTATAAATTAATTGCATGGGATTCCCAATAGCTGCAGGGTTGTTAGTCGACCGCAAATGATTTCGCAGACGTCCGTTTTTCGGTCTCATTTCAATTAAAATTCTTAATCTCCCTTTGGCTACAGAAAAGCCCGCTCACCAACAACGCAAACTGAGAATGAGTCGCGTAGATTTCAAGTAAAGCGTTGGGTGGCTATGACTTGATATTAACACTACAGACAGCCAAATGGTCAATAAGAAGATTTCTCTTTTAATTAACAGCGGAGTCCAGTTTTACACTTTAGAAAGTCGTAGTATCTGTTTTACATTGTGGTTTTTGCTGCTTTGTTTAAAATATAGTTATATAATTTCAAATCTAATGTGAAAAGAGGATGGAGAGTGGTCAGGCTTTTATTCAGTGATGAAAACGAGGAGAAAATTAGGCACCAGTGTTGCAGTGGGTGAGCATTTGCCTTGAAACTAGAGGGTTGCATACTGTTTACCTTTTGCTCTTCCCTGTTACAGTAAAGTAGCAGGGTTTAACATGTCTTCTGTGCCTAATCTTGACCATAAAGGTGCATCTAAACAATAAAATAAGTAAAATTATAACTATAGGCTGTAAGTTTAACGTCGCTGTGGTTAGTTATAGTTCTAAATGGCTTGTAATCTAGGACAATTGAAGGGCCCATATTATGCGATTTTCTATCTATGTTATAATGTTTCTTCATTCAAAACAGACCTGGAGTTGTGTTTTGTTTCATTCACACATGTTTAACACACAAATCCTGCATACCATATTTTTTGGACTATAAGGTGCACTTAAAATCCTTTAATTTTCTCAAAAATCGACAGTGTGCCTTATGTATTAATTCTGGTTGTGCTGATGCAATTTTATTGGTACACGGCGCTCAAAAATCTGTCAAAATGTTTTAGTGTGACTTTGGTAAACTACCAAGTCGCATGTTGGAGAATTTCGGCTACCGTAGTCAGGAGCCTCGCAGAGTTAGTCCGACGGAAGCTGAACCGCATCAGCGCACAAGGAACAAGCAGTTTTTTTCAGCACTTATAGTTTATGCAAATTAACCATGTGGCTTTATGTTTTATTTCTGTAAAACGTAAAGAAATCTGCACAAAGCTGCATTAAAACACATTATTGCTCAGTATATATTTGAGTCCTCCTCGTAGGACAGGTTGTGCAAAGTTTTTTCATCAAGGGCCATAAATCTAAACAGACGAAACACAGGGCTGATCAAGGACTGTAGACTGATGCTCAATACAGTGATTAATTGACATATGTGCACGTGAGCCATCAGTCTTTATTCATGCTAAGATCCTCAAAACCACACACTAAATATTAAATATTAGTTTAATCAAGGTAGATTTTCAAAAAAAACTTGCAATAAAAAGTAAATTATTCATTGATGCAAGATAATCTGGGCCAATGCTCCTGGAAGCCTGAGGGCCAAGAAAAA